ATATACAATAGTACAAACGGTCGTAACACTAGTAAGAACAATAGTAATAATAACACTAATACCACTAGTAGTAGTAGTAGTAGTAGTAGTAGAAGTAGTAGTAGTAGTAGTAGTAGTAGTAGTAGTAACCATAATCGCAAAAGTAGGAAGAACTAGTAACTAGTAATAGCAGCAGCAGCAGCAGCAGCAACAGGAGGACAAGTAGTAACACATGCCATGCACCACGCCTCCGCATCGACGTCCAGCTCCAAGATCTCTGCTGCGTCTTCCAATGCTGCTTCTGACAAAACACAAGCGCTTCTCTGAACCTGAAACTCATAAATGTGCTCAAAGCCATACTTGAAGAAGGTATGAACTGGAAAAGCTTCCACACTGTTTAGACTGGAAGAGAATTGTGAGTCGCAAGGATATGGGCAAAGCTGGTCCGGAGCAGTCTCAGGATCAACTTCAACATCGATGACAACAGGTGATGAAACATGGGGTGTTGCGATCGTTCGCCCAAGCTTTGCGACGGCAACCTGCCCGACCCACTTGTCCTCGCCCTTGCCCGCCACTCGTTCCATGTACTTCTTAGCTGCTGGCTTGCACGACAACAATTGAAGAACATCATACACAGTACCGTTCGCGCCAGATGATATGGGCACGGCATAACAAGAGCCTTCCTTCATGACACTCTTGATGTGCTGCTGGAACAAAACCAACTCACCGTGGTCCCCTGCGTCTACAGTCCTGGAGGCAGCGGAAGCGGCACTGATCAAAAGTTCCTCGCGAGACACGTCTTGGAACATTATGTCCAAATGCTGTCCGGATATGAGCCTTTGAAGCTCTGCCATGCTATTCCAAGGTTCAGGAATGAGACTCTTGAAGTCTTGAAGAAAGTCTTCAAGCTCATCACGGAAACTTTGGCGGTGAACATCCTTGTTCTGTCTGCGGCGAAGCGCCGCAGAAACAGTTGTTGCTGTGCTTGCGCGGCTGGTGCTCATCCGCAAGTTCACAAGGTGGTGTCGTCCCTCGAGACGCTGCATGGCCACAAGGCTCACCCCATAAGCAAACAGTTCCCGGAAAAGGCGGGTGTCCATGTCGTCTTCATTACCCACGCATGCCCACGCTCTCAGTGCAACGAAAAGCGGCCCCGAAAAGAACCGTGCCGCAAAAGTGCCGGTGAATTGCAGCTCACCAGCATCGAACAATGAACAAAGCTCTGCAGCAAAGACCCTGCTGTTGCGAGCCTCGGCTTGCCTCTGGTGTTTTGGGGCGACGGTGTACCCCAGAAGTTTGACAATGTTCCATGGAAACTTGCTATAGTACGACGAACCCTGCTCAAATCGCAGCATGATCTTGCGTTGGGCAGTGGAAAATGCAGCCTTCACTCGCTCTGCAAAGCCTGAGGCTTCTTCCCCAAAGGTTTGCAGATGCCTCAGAGAGACAGCTGCTTGAGAAGAAGCTTCCAACTTCATCGCCTCCAACTCATCTAAGAAGTCACGTGCCTTGCCGCAGCTCAATTCAATCAGCCGACGACCGGCCAATCTACAGGGCTTGTCTCTAGCGCGGGTTCTTTCGCCAGCCATCGCCTCCGCACGATCACTGTCTTTGCGTTTCCTGGCCCGTTGTGTATCATCAGGACTGACTTGGTGCTCGGGACATGGGCAGCCATGAAGCCAAGTATAGACCCGAAACCCCCAGCCCTGCAAGCTGTATGTTGCAAAGAATAGAGCCCAAAATTTCGCTCTTTCCATGGGATCAACGGCAAGGCGCCTCAAATTTTCTCCCTCTGATTTTGTCAAGTCTTCAGAACCGCCAGCCCCGCGGGAAGTGTCGGGCTCCAGCCAATCAAGCAGCTGGCGTCGGCTCGCAAGCCAGTGTAGCACATCGAACCTATACTAACCACAATTTAGGGACTCTACAATTAAGATTTCAGTTGTTAGTTAGGGGTTTGAGTTCACCAAAAAAAACAATGATCTTAGTTTTAAGGAACATGAAGTGCCACCGCGACTTGTTGTAGGTCGGACACGTACTGCGGAACATCGACGTCAAACCCTGCTTGGCTTGTGCTGGGATTTTGTCATTGTTCAATATGTTTGTCTTGAGGTAGCGCTCTAGATGATCACGTTTGCTGAAGACTTTGGCCAACCCATTCAGCTGGGAATCAAAGCAAGCCCACATCTCTTTGTCGATGGCAGAGAACCCAAGCTCCAACTCAGTCATGCAGTGGTGCAACATGTGGTCGCCATCTGCTAGAGGAGCTGCATTCTCAAAACATCGTGTCTGAGACGCAAAATCTTCGGCCGGATCGTGTACCAAAGTTGGAAGCTGCCACAGGCCAGACTCAACCCCCATATCCGACAACAAGGAACGCACAGAGCATCTGGCAAAGTTCACATCATCTGCCTCAAGGGCCAACATGCGTAGGCAGGACTTGGCTTTGTAAGCCGTCGATGTTGCCTGCTTTCCCAGGACCTGCAGTGGCATGAGCCTGGACTGCAAACGAATGGAGTCGAACCTCGGATGCTTTCTGCGACCGGGCTGGCATAAAATGTAGCGCGGCGGCCACTAATTAGTTACTAAATTGCCACTTCTTGAAAACAGATTTATTTCTTGGCCCCAGCAGCAATTCGTCGAGATGATCATGATCAGGATGAATGTCACACAACTCCACTCGATCGAGCTCACCCACCAGGTAATTCCTGGAAAATTGAGGGCTCGAATCCAAACGCATGTGCGTGTGCCACTCTGGCAATGCAGCTGCGAAAAGATGCTTTCGAGCCCACAGCATGGATGCGAAGTCGATGCTCTGGCGGAACTGGTAGAGCACTGATTTTTTCGGTACTCGCAGCCCCGCATTCATCAAGTGCTCCGCTAGCTCCGGCTGCAAAGAAAGGTTGAGCGACCTGCCCAAGCTATTCGTTGCTCTTTCTGCTTTCTGACAGATAAAGAATAAAAGTTACTTCTTTGGTTTAAATCGCAATAGCAAGCCCACAGTTGTGCTTCCGACGGAAAACTTAGGCAAGCACTGCTTCACCACTGTGAGCAGCAGGCTTTGCTCGTCATTTTCTGCGGCGTCATCGTGCAGGCTTCTGAGATTGTCGGCCAAAAGCACGCTGTCAAGCATGAAGTGGGCTCGATATTTTGAGCCGCCACCTCTGGACCTTTTCTCGGTTGGTGTCGCCGGCCGCATTGCCTGTTGCAAAGCTTCTAAGCCGAATCGAAGGCTGTCTGTCCGACCAGCATCCAAGTCTGCAAACATCTTTTCGAAAACCAAGTCGAACATGCTTGGCCCCGCCGGTTGGGTCTTGCCGGTCCTGGCACCTGTGTAGTCCACCAACACACGAACCTTAGAAGTTAAGCCACAGCGGAAGCCTTCAACTTAAACCCCAATCCTAGACCCGGCCCTGACCTGCAGGCCCGTCTCAATCTCAATAATCTCAATCCCATCTCAACTCCCAACGTCCAAGGCCCAAGGAGCTTCATCCCACTGGAGTTCGGCATACTCAGTCTGCACATCCTGGAAGCTTTTGCCGTCGAAGTTCCAATCCTTGTAGAAATGGTTATGGTGGTGGTGGGGCTGATGGGAGTGGTGCTACAATAGTAATACTGGCTACTTGGCTGACTCACAACATTGAACGTTGATACTCATATTGGGCCTAGCGTCTGCAGAGCACTGCAGCAACTCCCGGGCATCTTCTCTTGGCAGAAAAGAATACGATCTCCTCCCCTGACTTCCCACTGCACTAAGCACAGGCTCTGGTAAGACACCCCTGAATTTGATTTCCCGCGGAAGTGGCAGTCGCTTGCCTGCACCAGGAGGCATATCAGTCTCCAACCGCAGAAGCTCAACATAACGGTCCTTTTGCCGGTTGAAGCACCAGCACCCATGAGCTTGTGTCAACGCTCCCAGGACGTCCCCAGCCCCGGGACCAGGAATGCCTTGACCATCAGGCACCAGCATGGCCTACGCGCCTGCGTCTTGCCACGCACGAAGGTTGCATCGCCAGTGAAGCAGGAAATCACCAGTGAATCATCAGTGTCAAGTCATCACGTCAAGTCACGTCCATCAGAATCCATCAGGCACTTTGCACGAGGCAGGACAAGTAGCACGACTCAACCCTTGCCTACATAAGAAGACTGATCCGTGCTCCAATTCAAGCTCTAATCTAAGGCGGTGCCAACTGCTCACAAATAAATTCATGCATAATACTCCCTAATGGAGAAGCAACTTGTCAGCTTGCTGCTAATTACGCAGTGGGACGCTATTCAGCACGAAATCGTTCACGGCCCGTCTGCTGCTGTAGCACCGGCAATGCGAAACAACGGGGTTTCGGGCTCTAGGGGTCCGGGTTTTGGGTTATTTGTTTCAAACGGTATGAATACATGAGCATGGACCGATTACCAACAAACTCATACCGAAATCATGCCCCGCAGACGTTATGGCACTCACAAGGTCCGGCCCCAACCCCACGTTTCTCCCGAAACAGCTGAACGGAATTAGTAGTCCCCCCCTCCCTTTGTGAGCGCGTCACGGCGGTTTCTGCATCAACCGGGTTTAGGGTTTGGGGTTTAGGGTTTGGGGTTTAGGGCTTAGGGTATGCAGGTGTCCGACAAACAACACATCTCAGAGAAACCCGAAACCCACCCGGGTTGAGATCTGGGCGGGTGGGTTGGGAGAGTGCATGCACCTGGGCGAGCACGATGATACACGC